GCAAAAAAAAAAAAAAAAAAAAAAAAAGCAGAAATGAGGACGGATCTTTATGCTCCTCATATTGAATTTTGTTTGTTTTTATGCAATATCTTGAATTTCATTTAATATATATATATATGTATATCTATATATATAGGGGAAAATGAAATTGGAATAAAATGAATTTTGCATAGGTTATTTGAATTAGTCAATTTCATTTATGATAACTTACATAGAAGTTGAATACTATACTGATATAGACTTTAGGGATTGGGTCTAGAAATGAGAATAAATAAAGACTTTATATAGCTTAGAGTTAAAATAATTTGAAAAAAAAAATCCCGATTTTCATTTCCAGTTAATGATTCGAGAGATTGTTATTTTGATTTATAAATACGAACGAGAAAGTAGAAAGTGCAACACTTGGAGTTCACTTCAGCTTCTTGGAAGAAGGCGTGGGAGCTAAGGGCTTACGGCGAGAAGCCATGTAGTTCACAACTCGGAGCAATGCAGATTGGCTCAACTCGGTGCAATTGTTCCAGTAGAAAATGGCCAAATCCCAGGCCTTTATTCTCAAATCCAGCAGCATCTTTTCAATATCCTTGTCATTTTTATCAACCAAAGGCCTCAACAACGTGTCGAACACATACCCAGATCCCTGCATTGTTTTTTTATTTCGTTATTTCACAAACAAACAAGCATCAAAGGGATCAAATTGAAGCTTCTTATTACCATAGTCTTTGGATACCACAGGTAGATAAACAGAGCCAGCTTCAATTCTCCATACATGGGGAGCCATCCCACAAAAGCATCGGCAATCCTCTCAACAACTGTTAGAATAGCCACAACGATCCTGCATCACCGCATTTCAATCATTCTAACCCAAAATAAGCTTTCAATTATTGAATTCACATCAATTCGTCGAGTCTTTGTTACCAAAATTTACACCAATATCGAAGCTGCTCGACTTGAATTGGGGCCATCACCACCGCTTTGTAGCACTGAAACGCTGGATATGCATACCCAAACAGCAGTCTGCAATTCAAAATTCATCATCAATTCATCATCAACCACCATCGACTTCAAGTTCATAGACAAACACAACGCAGAGAAATCGAATAACTCACAGAAGGGATCGAGCCAGGAAATCACCCAACATCTTGTGTGTTTTTATTTTGAATTCAAGAACAGAGATTTGGGGTAATGAGATGAATCAAAAGGAGAAATAAATACAGATTTTATAAGAGATGATTTTCTTGCACATGATTCAGTCAAACCATGTATAATTAATGAAAAATCAACCAAACCTTGTTTATTGTATCGTTGTTATTATAATAATAACAATAATAAAATATGAGATTAGAATCCGATAAAATTTGAGTAATTTGGTCGTCATTTCTCGTGCATTTCCCGGTTTCCTCAATATTCAAACATAACCAAATTGAAATAGTCATACGAGTGTATTTTAAATTTAAATACGTCAATTTCATAAACCGGAAGATATTGGTTTATGATCATATACTATTTATCATACACGTAACACGGGTCCATCCAACAAAACTATATATTATTTATATTTATATTTAAAGACCTTCAACCCAACTTACCACTGATCTAATGCAAGGGTGTGTATTTATTTATTTAAAGAAAAAAAAAAAAGTTGATTCCCTCCCACTTGAATTTTTTAAAGGGAAAACCACCGTGTGGTTTCTCACGTGTCTCAAAAGCTGTTTTGGTTTTGGTGTGCAAATCTAATCCAATAGTTTACTAATGCACTTGTGACTCTTGATTCTTTTTCTTTCTTTAAACATTCATATATTTAATTGTTCAATTATTATAAAAAAAATATTTTTTCAATTTAACCCTTAATATTTTTAAATAATCAACTAAAATGAATATAGATAATTATGAAATTCCAAAGAAAAGGTAAATTTATGTGATAAGGACACTGTAGGTGCTTAAGATGGGACAGATGCAACTTCCCTCAATTGGTTTGGATGGTATAGTCGAGAGCTAAACCTTGTTGGGTGAGATCAAGAAAAAAAAGACTGGATGGGGGGAACCATGCATGATACTTCTTGACTATGTCTCTGAGGGACAATTAAACAAGTCACACATGAATGGTGCTAGGTTAGACAAGCCAATAACTCAAAGGCCTGCGATTTGTTTTTTGAGATGAAAAGTTCGTTAAGATTTTTCCGTACAAAATTTTCTTATCGTGAGCTCTCGTGACATTGATTTAACTCTTTTTTTCTTTTTCTAAAAAAGAATTATTTTCACGAATTCGGTTAAACAATGATTGAACGCATTGGTTGGCGTTGGAATTATTGAATTATGAATTGGTGGGATTGTTAGCAAAAGGACAAGCACTCCCCTCACGGACCATACAACTTTGTGCCAATTATTATTTTTATCTTTTTAATTTCTACTCTCCACAATTATTAAATAAACAATAGAAATACTATTTATTTCTAAAAACAACAAATATAGAATATACACATTTTTTTTTTCTTTTTTCTTACTTTATCAAACAAAATTAATTAATATTAATATTAGGCATTGGGAACCATAATTAATTCTGAATTGGAAGGTTGTATTCCTTTAGAACCGCTTCAAATTTCAATTAAAACACTCTTAATTATAATATTTACAAAATAAATAAATAAATCATATTGTTTCTTAATTAAATAAACAAACAATAATTAAATTTTGGATCCGACAACGTCATCATATCGTGTAGGACCCACCAGTCGTAGCTCACGTTCTACTTCTGGATTTATATATTACACCTCAGAGCAATCCGCTTCCCATTTCCGCTCCGCCTCACTTTCTCCTCCTCCGCCCACAATGGCCGCCGTCAAAAAAAAGCTTCTCCTCAGTACCATCTCCGTCGACATTGGCTGCAGCAGTTGCCGAAAGCCCAAATCCATCCTCTCACAGATCTTCCGTTCCAAGCCCAAGTCCCGAACCCCCAACTCCGACCGCCGCCTCTTCCGGTCGCCATCGAGCTTGTCGGAGAAGAAGCTGAGCGATGTAGACATGGGTTACAGTCCTGAGATAGTCGGAGGCGGGTTCTGGAAGATCGGCAGCGCCAGCGTGGCGGTGGAAAAGGATTCTAATGTTCCGTATGTGGATTTCCGACATTCGATGCTGCAAATGATTTTGGAGAACGAAATTTACAGTCAGGAAGGTCTTCGAGAGCTTCTTAGCTGTTTTCTTCATCTCAATTCCCCTTGCAACCATGGGATTATAATTCGAGCTTTTGCCGAGATCTGGGATGGTGTATTCTCTGCCAGAGCAGCAGCGCCCACGGCGGCGCCTGCTAAACAAAGACGCCTTGTCCGCTCACGCGCCTTCTAACCCACGCCTCATCATCGTGCTTTCTCATTGGTCGATCAGTTTAGTTTAGTTTTTTTTTTCTTTTTTCTTTTTTGGTTCGGTTAATTTTCAGAAAATCGGTTCATTTTTGGGATGTCGACGGAGTAGGCCGGAAGATGTAACTATTGCTTTTTTGTCTTTTTAATATCTCTGTCTTTTCTTTAATTTTTCATTTAGCCAACTTTATTAACATTTTAAAATAAACAACTTCAATTAATAGTCTAACAAAAATCTTAATTTAATTTGGACTAAGTTCGGCCATTCTAGTATCCATATCCATAGTGTAACGGTCCAAACCTCTAACGACCCAGATCCACGGTGGGAGGATATTGTCCTTTTTTACGTTCCTTGGGATTACCCTTAAGGTTTTAAAACGCGTCGTCGGTTGGAGAAAGATTTCTACACCCATATGAAAGATGTTTTGTTCTTATCTTCAACCAATGTGGGACATCACATAACCATTGCTAGCCGATATTAACTTCTGTGGACTTTCTCTTCCAAATTTATACTCAAGATTTTTAAAACGTGTTTGTTAGGGAAAGACTTCTATATTTTTATAAATAATGTTTCGTTTCACTCTTCAACTGATGTGGGATCTCCCAAACCACTTCCTTCCGGGGTCTAATGTCCTCACTAGCATGTCGCCCAGGGTCCATCCTTTCAAGGCCTAATATTTTTGCTGGTGTTGGATGAAAGTCCTATGTCGGCTAATTCAGATAATGATCATAGGTTTATAATAAAAAAATACTATCTCTATTGGTATAGGACTTTTTGAGTAAGTCCAAAGCAAAGTCACGAAAACTTATGTTCAAAGTGGACAACATCATATTATTGTAGAGATCTATGATTCCTAACAACGGACATACCGTTCAATGTCTGATTCTAATATGACAATATTTGGTAGAGAAGGTATGGGTGGAAAAAACAAAAGAGATGATGAATGGGGGGAGGGTGAAGACAAAGTTGAGTGAAGAAGAGGACAATGCTTAGATGAAGAAAATAAAAGGGACAGAAGTGTCAGGCAAAGGAATGAATGCTGTTTTTTTTGTAAGGCTTCAATTGGTATGCCAAATTGTACTCTGCTTTTTCAATCATAGCATAGAAACTTATTTTATCACTTTTTTCAAAACTTTTGATTGTTCCCACCATGATTACAAGGCATTCTATACCTGCATAAACCTCAAAGCTATGAACTCGAATGTCCACATTTGTGATCACGCGGTCAAGCTTGACATCATTTGAAAGCCATGTATGAGTAGGTGCAGAAATTGAGATGCAGAAACATAAATACGAGTAGTGCAAGAGTGAGCGGGGAGTGGGCAGCGAGACATGAATGATAGGGCAGAGAGAGTTGAAGGAGATTCAGAGATAACATTGGAAAATGTAGAAATTGAAGCCTCCATAGCCACAGCTAGCTGGACATCACTGCCTCTGTGGCATGCATTTAACTCACTGCTTCCCTTCCTCAGTGCATAATAATGCTTGCCCCCCCCCCCCCCCCCCCCCCCCCCC